ACAAACATGGCCTTCCTGTTCATTGTATTAGTCAAACAGTTGTGCAGATTGATCTTGTGTCTTGAGCCTTTATCCTTCGTTGCTTGCTATGTCTGAAGCAGGAACAAATTGAGGCCATGAATCCATGTTCAGTCCTGTAGCTTAACGGTTAAAGCACTTGGCTCGCAAGTGGGAGGATCTGGGTTTGATTCCCGGGCAGGGCGAAACATTGGACAAGATCGTTTTTCTGGGGGTAATAATCACTTTTTAAAAAAAAAACTTTGGTTACTAAATCCACGGTTGTTTGTGCCGCACTACTGTGCGCAATTGGCAGCCGTGTTTTGATCAATTGTGGATTGAGTGACCAAATTATTATTATTATTTTTAGAGCAGTGATTCTATCTTAAGTATTCAGGTGGATATCAAAAAGTACACTGACTATTTGCGAGTTGCAGTATATTGCTGTATTCTCCCAACAAAGTACGAGAGAATCGTTTGGATGGGCTTGTTGTGGCCTTTTGTTTTGGCTTGTTGTGGGTGTTATCTCTTCTATCTCCTAAACTTTTGGTCTACTGGATAATGGGGGGGGGGGAGCGGGAGAGAAAGAGAGAGGGAAAGTAGGCTCAGCTTTTACTATCAAAGTACACTTATTCAAATATTTGCGTTAGTACTATTTGTACTGAGTAAAGGCTGGGTTTCTCTGCTTGGCTGGTCTGCTCCCATTGTGGAATTCCTGTGACATAGTGGTGAGAGCACTCGCCTCGCAAGTGGATTAGATTCCCGGGCAGGGCGAAACACTGAGAAACTTTTCTTACCCCACACGCCTCAGTATACCTCGCAGTAAATAGGTACCCAGTTATTAGTCGATTGGCAGATTATTTTCCCAGGTGTCATAATCCCTTACATAAAAAAATGTGGTCACTCAATCTACGACTGTTCGCGGGATGCTGCTGAGTGCAGTTACTTTCCGGCTGCATTTCGCCCACAAAATGTACAGTCACTCCACTTTACAGTATATTCAGTGAAGCGCTTTGAGACGTCTTGAAGACGTGATAAGGCACTTATATCAAATGTGGGGATTATTATTAATATATTGTATCTATAACCAGGAGATTTAAAATCTCATTAATCAGGAACCTGAAATGAGGCCTGTGTTAGCCCACTGTATCATAGTCTCATCAAAATCAATCACCATGTGAGACCCATTTATAATTATATAAGAACTTGGCAGCAATAAAAAAAAATCTGTGCGAAAATGGTTATTCAGTTCTTCGTTCTGCTCTCCATTAGTCACGTGACAACTTATTTACAATGGCTGTTTTATGTTCACGGAATAATTGTAGTATTCAGCTGAATCTAATTTCTGTTTTTTCATGAATAGTCAGTTTATCTTCAGGAGTGAAAATGGCTACTGATTTTTCTTTTTCCCATCCTCGCGTCCATTTTAATGTTCTCAGGACCAGTGTGATCGTCGCAGTGGAGGGATTTGTAAAGACTGAATCCGCTGTGTTGTGATATCGTGTTCCTTTTAACAAATGCTACACCAGTGGAGCCTCTCGTAAAATAATCATTTTGCAGTTTGGTGCCAAGACAGTATTTCTCTTTGTCGGCCTGGCGCGGAGGGTAGCGAGCTCACCTCGGAGTCAGAAGGTTGTGGGTTCAGGTTCCCCCCATGTCGGTACTTGGAATCTCATAATCTAAGGTCACGCTCCAGTGCAGGGCGAGGGGTGTGCTTCATTGTCGGAGGTGCCATCCTTCAGGTGAGACGTTAAACCGAGGTTTCATCCACAGAATAGACAATCAATCCACTTTCATTTTATCCTGCGAAACATTCTGAGACGTCTCAACCACATGATAAGGTGCTATATCAAATGCAAGGATCATCATTCTTGTTGTTTAATCTCAGTACTTTCCAGTACAGATTACTGGAAATAATCTGGACATCAAGGAAGTAACTACAGTACTAAGCCTCTTGTTCCTGCCCAATGATAGCGTAACTAATGAAATGCTGTACTTCACGTGACGGGTAAAGGTAGAAAGTAGATGAGTTAAAGGTCACTAAGGCAACTACCCACGTTCATTCTTTAAGCCCCCATTTGCACGTTTTTGTCAAGTTAATCGAGTGTTTCTGGAACACTCAATGAGGAATGTGTTAAGTTTATCTAAGCAGCTATCTGATCTGCAGGATTTCCCTTCTCCACCCAAAAAAGGTCCTAACTATGTTATACATTCTTTTAGATTAGGTAAACCTTTTTCTAATGTCAGTTAGTGGTTTTCCAAGTGTCGGGCCTATAGAGTGACTGAAAGTATTTATTTATTTCTTTTAGAAAAGAGAATGTGATTTTCATTTTTTGTCAGTTTATGTAATAATAATACTAACAGTTCATGTAACCGCTCTTGTTTTTAGGGTACTGCATCCCAAAGGCTCAATGTGTAGTTAAACAAGGCAGATGCGGAAATGTAGTGATGCAGGTATTAGAGGTGCAGAAGATTTCAGTGCAAATCTCACACACACTATGGCAGTAAAACATTTGTTTAATCGCTTCAAAAAATAATAATAATGATAATTTGGTCACTCGATCCACAGCTGTTTGTGGGGACGCTGCTGTGCGCAATTGGCTGCCGTGTTTCGCCCACATAATACACAGTCAGTTCACATTCCGGTGTATCCTGTGAATTGCTTTGAGCCACCTCAAAAACGTGATAAGGCGCTATATCAATTGCAAGGATTATTATTAATATAATCAAACCGCTCGGAGAAAGTTTTTTTTAATATAAGAACTGATTCAATCCTCAAGACATATTAAATACTTTAAGGAGCGTAAAGGCAGATTATCTGCAGGAGCAAGAAAAAAATGTGAGGACATTCTGTGGTTTCTCTCTTCCTCCCCGATTGCTTTTATGCACTTTTCGTAACCTTACAAGGAGAGGAGAGAGGTTTGCCAACAGCCAATTATAAAATGGGATAATTTGTGAGTGATGTCATTGTTTCAGAGCTGATCTCTTTGCAGGGTTAGCCAAGTTCATACTGCAAATGTAAACAGGCGCTTCATTCTGTTTACTGCAAGCCTCATCATCCGCTGGATTTTTCCAGTTGATTTTCAGTACAATGAGAAATTATCTGCTGTTTACTCCCCGCAGAGGGTTCTTCACTGCCTCAGGTTTTGGGCCAAGAGGGGATGCATTTCCATAAAAAGGCATTTTTTTTAAGAAATGTCGATAGTGAAGAGGAAGTTGCCATTTGCATTCACACAGTTTACTGATGGGATACAACAACTTATATTTATATAACGCCCTTCTCCCCGTGTATTTTGTGGGTGAAACGAACGCGGCAGCCAATTGCGCACAGCAATGTCCCACAAACATTTTTTGGGGGGAGGGATTATTACTCCTGGAAAGCAATCCGCCAATCAACCAACTAACAACTGGCTTCCTACTTGCGTACTATTTAGATAGCTTTATGGGCTGCCATTGATGTGGAAGACAACCTGCACTATGGTCCTAGTAATGTTCAGGGTCACTAATTCAGGGGTAGTGTATTGTGTGTTCTGTAATCCGACTGTAGGAAGTCTTTCTTAAAGCAGAAATGTTCTCTTTCTTTGTACATTCCCACACGAATGCACAGTTGACTTTACAGCGAGAAAAATCTTGTGAATAGCTTTGAGACTTCTGAATGATGTAAAGGTGCAATATCAAATGCAGGAATGATTATATCTTTAGAGAAGCGCTAGAAGCGGGGACAGTCCCTGTGATTCTATAGGTCAAGAAGGGGGTAAGTTCCTTGCGTGCTTCAGAAGCAGAGTGGTGCGTTTTCTCAGGCACTCCCAGTCATTCCAAACACATCTCGAACCTAACATGAACCACTTAAGCCGACAGTAAAAAGGAAAAGTCTCTTGTGAGCACTAACTAACGCCCACTGTACATCATTCAGGAATTAACATAGACGCGAGCCAAGATTGTTGGGTACTGTAGTTCCATTTTTTTATACTGTACAATGAAAAGTCTAAACTGACTCACCAATTGTATAAATAGAACACCTTGGCTCCTGGTGTGAGAATCCCGTCAACAGGTTTGGGGGAAACTCTAGTCTCCGAGCAATAACAAACACAGCGATAAAACTGTTAACATCAGCAACGTCTTTGCTGCAGCTTGGCTAAAAAATATTAAACAAAAAAAGGAATGATTTGAACTTGGATTGAGGTAGTACATCACAGAAGGAATGAATTTGTGACCCAGTTAAACTGCTTTGTGTTACATCAGATTGGTAATGACGGCAGCTCACTGGGCTTCGCTATCTTGATTTCAAAAGGCATGTGATTTACTCAATCTGATGTTCGTCAATTTTTGACCATTTTAAGCAGTGGAATGTTTTCCCACTCCTTTGTTGATTGTAACTTTCGTTGTGTGGCAAGGTTATGGATGGTGTATTGCAAATAATAATAATAATATAATATACCCAACAGTGTAAAAAATACTACAACAGAACCCCTTTAAAACACTTCTTTATAGCTCTGGTTTCCTTATAGCCTATTAGGGATATGGTCATTTACTTATCCAAAAACCCAAAATGGACACTTCAACTCAATCGATGCTTCAAAACATGTGGCTGTATGTGTGGGAAGTCAAAATAGACAACTTTCAGGTCATCCGGCTGCTGCCTCAGTTGCTTCCTGAATGCAAGGGCAATGAATGCCGAAGCGCTAACCAATGATCGTACCCTTTTAACAGCTAGTTAGGATTTTATGGAACCCCAACTACTGTTAACAGGGCTGAGCAGCCTGGCTAGCAGCTTAGAAACCTAGTTGCTCTGGTCTACAAGTGGCTGAGTGGGAGGCTGTTCTGAAGACTAAACAAAAGTTTACAGAATTTTGCATCCCTTGCTTGCTTGTTCCTTTCCCCTGTCAGTTTCTCACATGTACAGATTTACTGATGTTCTTTGCCTGAGTACCTGAGTCTAATTACAGAAGCTGTTTTTACTGCTGCAATGTGTAATGTGCCCTTTTAAACCTCTTCTCTTGCAGATAGTGGCGCTGTGTGAGAACGTCACAGGATGCGCGAATACAAGCTAGTTGTCCTGGGTTCAGGAGGTGTGGGAAAGTCTGCTCTGGTGAGTTCATGACAGTGACTGTTATCCAAACCTTGTTAAAATGGTATTGCTGAATTGATCAAGAGTATTTTCAAGACAAACACTTCAGGCGTTCAGCTAGTGCAGGGCTATAAGAGGAAAGCTGGAGCGGATTGCCCCATTCGTTCAGACCTTCATTGCTGTAGAACAAGGAAGTAAGCAATCTTAACACTGGAGCCAATTTTGGACTATCGCTTTGTCAGAGGCCCTCGGATGCAGAAGTAATTGGTGTTGCATGGAGATGCAGTCGATGGGTACTTGTGAAGTTGGGGAAATAGAGTTCAAATGATGGCCTGAGTAAATTCAGAGCAGGCTGTGTGGTTTGAATGGCCTGCCCTTGTCCCTTTGTACCTTACACCCTGAATAGCCCTGGGTTGTAGAGCAGAAATGGATCATTTCTGATCAGTGCCATCCCATAACTCCTAACTAGAAATTTATTGTGTGCGTGCCAGTGTAGGAGCAGATATACAATGGGCTGGATTAGGAGGAGGTCGTTCAGCCCATCGAGCCTATCCTGGCAGTTTATTAGATCATTGGCAGATCTTTTAATCCTATTTCCCTGCTTTTTCTCCATGCCTAGTAACGCCCTTACTTTCCAAGTTTTTTTTAAATCTATCTCCCTTTTAAGCAACCCAGTTAATTCTGCTTTTACAGCTTTGGGCAGTGCATTCCATATTTTCACAGCTCTTTGCTGACGTAGCTTACAGACGAAGGATAAGATGAGGAAACGTTTGCGTTTTCTGCTCGAACTTCTGGGTTATCTTTGAGAGGAAGTGAAAATTGAAGGTTCAGGCATTATTTTTTTTTAAACGTTGAGAGAATACTTAGTCTGCATTTACAGATCTAAATCTGCCCCCAAAACGTTCAAAGCTCCCCACAACATTTGCCTGAAAAATAATAATAATCCTTGCATTTGGTATAGCGCCTTATCACGTCTTCGAGACGTCTCATAGCGCTTCACAGCATATACTGTAAAATAAATGGACTGTTTTGTGGGAGAAACGTGGCAGCCCCCCAAAAAAGTGCAACCCTTAAGAAAACTGACATCCCGAAACTGACTTGAAGTGTTGTTGCAGTCTTCTGACGTCTTCTTACTCTGCAGATAAATTTGCATGTTCTAAATATTATCTGATGAGTTTTTATATATACATATAAGGAAAATCTTTCTTATTAAATGCTAAATTGAGTTGCACTTGTGAGACATATTGGTTATGACTTTTAGATTGCATTAACTAACTTAATTCATGTAACGTATAACCTTTACCCAGAAGAGCTGCACATGGCTGGCACAACAGTTACTACTTTTCATAAGGTACATAACAATCTTTGAACACTTTGTAGTAAAACTGAGTTCAAACCCAACACGAGAGTTCTACCTATGCATGTTTAGAATGTTTCGCTGCTGTGTATGTGTGTGTGTGTGTTACAATAATCTTTGCTTCAATACAGCGCCTACAGTATTAATATCGCAAAGTGGTTAACAGGCAATTGCTGTCAAGTGTAGTGACTATATGTAGGCAAACTGCTCATAGCAGTGTCCCTCAACCAACAGCTTTTAAGTCGATTGATTTTTGACGTCTTAAAAAGCCCAGACAGATGGTGAATTGGTGAAATCTGGGTTAAACAAGTGCTGGCGTTCATGTCCAGGCGTGGTCTGGTATTGATTGCACTGTTGAATGAGTGTTGGGAGACCTTTCATAGCCTGGGTTTGCGGAAGGTTGAGCGATGCAGTCTTTGTTTCCGTTTTTATTTGAATCCTTTTTGTTTCCTTGAAATGGCTCTACTAGTGACTCATTCTCCAATACTTTTGCTTGGTACTAAAAAAAACAATTGCTACTTGCTCCGTTTATATAATGTAAAGAGACTGAAGTTTCAGTCTGTGCTGGCCGAATGGAAGTCGCTAATCTCACATGTTTTCTTTTTCTCCTCCTTTCTCCCCCCACCCACCACATGCCCTTGACCCATGGCCTCATGGATGCCTCAACTTAAACCATTTGGAAAGATTTTGCTGCTATTGTAACTGATACCCTGACTGCTCGCAGGAAGGAATCTGTTTCCAGTACCCTTTCCAGTGTTGAGTAACAGTCACACAGAGTTGCCCTGTAGAAGTGGTCTGTTTCGCCAAGAGTTCTTCATCTGGAGTAAAGGCAGGAAAGATTATTTAAAAAAAAAAGAATCTGTCCTGCGTTCACGCAAAGTTGGTGTTTAGTGACAATGGTCTAGATCCATAGGCGTGCCTTGTGTTACAGTGGGGTGCGTGCAAGAATAAAGTCAGGGTTTCCGAGTTGTCAGTTTGCCGCTGACATCAATTCCGGTGTAAAGAAGCCGTAAGTGTACTGCACTTTGTGGATTTACGGTGTGTCCGTTCTGTACGTGTATTATTTTGCCTACAAACATATACGATTCACTTTACAGTATATCTTGTGAAGCGCTTGAAGATGTGATAAGGCCTGATATTAAATGCAACGATTATTATTATAAGTGGGTTGGCCTGAAACTATTTGCTGTCTATCAGGTTTTTACCAATGGAACACTTGGACGCTGCAGAAGGCTTTAATTCTACGAGTAGGAGCTGGGAATGTCCTGAGCTTTGGGAAAAAGTGGGGAATTCCGTGTTTTTTTTATTCAGTATTTGTGCAGTGGGATTAATGCTGGCATTGCTGTTGCATCAGTTGGTGGAATTTTGAGGGTACTACAAATAATAATAAGGTAGCTTACGGGGTCTTTTGATAAGGTGCCTTACGGGGTCTTTGAGACGTCTCAAAGCGCTTTACAGAGTATACTGTAAAGTGAATTGACGGTATTTTGTGGGCAAAATTTGTAGCTCTAAACATCTCGCTTGTACGGTGAACATTGATTTTTAATCTTCAACACAAGAGATTGTAATCCGCAAACATCTAGGGACTAAAATTAATGTGTATCAGCCTTGTATTCCATTATATTTTTTATGTATTATCTATTATCAACTGTCTGGGATACCATAATCAACTGATCTGAGGTGCTGATAATCAAATGGGAACGAGAGCTGGGACTCTGTCACATTTGCTTTGCCATCATGGGACAATTTATAGTAACTAAAGCTAATTATACCAGGGATTTGAGCTAACCTGTCACCACATGCCCTCGTCTCGGCCTGGACCGTCTTGCCAACTTTTCAGATATCTTTGACGTACGTCTCTGTATTGGTCCTGCTTGTCAGCACTTTCCCTAGTTGTGTCTATTTATTTCTGTTTTGGCACAGATGTTCCACTCTAGGACAGTATGCTAACATAGAAAAAACTGAGTCTCATTCCTGCCCGCCCCCACCCACCCCCTGCGTTTAATCCAATCTCTTAATCCAATAGATTTGGTGTAGTGGTAATATGTGAAGTTATGAAAAATAGGACAATTGTACACATAATAATCCTTGCATTTGATTTAGAGCCCGATCACATCTTCGAGACGTCTCAAAGCGCTTCACAGAATATACTGTAAAGTGAATTGTATGTTTTGTGGGCAAAACACGAATTGCGCACAGCAGCGTCCCACAAACAATCGCGGATCGATTGTCCCAAGTTATTGTTTTTTTCCAAATGACCCAGAAATAGTGAATATCTGGGGTCGTCTGAAACCATTTGACCTCAGAGGTTAAATCAGTAAATCTCACTGAACGTGAGGCTCAGAAGTGGCCTATATTGACAGCGATGTTCAGTTACGCAACTACGCGCATTGACGCTCTCCTCGCCTGATGTGCGTGGGTTCAGTTTTCACACTCATGGTCAATTTCTCGTGTTTACAATTCCCATTACGCTTCTAACTAATTAGTGTTTTCAGTCAGTTATATTGGTTTGCTTAATGCAGTTCTAAAAATGTGGTCTCCCCAATGGCACAGTGAGCTTGATTTGTTCTTGTAATTCAGCCAAACGTTCAGGAGTGGTGCTGGGGTTCAGTCCCTCGTCTGCGCTAGGGACCTTGATAAGCTGTTTTATCTTGTACTGAAAAGTAGAACCAGGGAACATGGCCTGCGATTAAAGGGGGGGAATTTCAGAACAAACTGCGGAAACACTACTTCAGTGAGTGGGCAGTAAATGTATGGAACAGGCTCCCTCGGGAGACGATGGAAGCAGAAAGTGTTGATTGTTTCAAGAATAAATCAGGTAGATTTTTGCTGGAAAATAATACCTGGAGATACAGTATATGGTTTGGGGACACGACATGTAAAGTGACTGTCAGGATGGTGGAAAGCGAACTAGATGAATCTTGGTCTTCTTTCACCTTATAGCAAACTCTTAGGTTCTTATGAATTGGCTGATTGCAACTGGGATGTTCTATGGCTACTCCTGTTCGTCCCAGCAACTTATTTTAGGAGTGGAAATTTGGCTTGGGTTTCTTTTTTTGACTCCTATCCACAGGTGACTCCTGGAGATACATGGATGTGGCTAGTTAATGGTCTGGGTTGATGTTGTGTTGGCTGCTTTTAAAGAACGTGCAAATTGTAAAGGAGATGTTTAAAACTACTGTACTTGACTTAAAAAATGGCAGCAACTCACTGGTTGAGTTCCCAGCGCAAATGTTAAAATCTTTTAAGTTGCTGATCCTTTTTTTTAAAAATTGTTTTAATGTATCTCAGCACATTTCTTTGATTGTTTTTTTAAAAAAAATCTGAAATAATGCAAACATTTCCTCTGCCCCTCCTCCCCAAAACCCCACAGAGCGTTGGTCTAATTTCAAATGCCGTTGTCCTAACCACATGCTCCTTTCTTTTTTTTCAGACCGTACAATTTGTTCAGGGAATATTTGTTGAAAAGTATGACCCCACAATAGAAGATTCCTACAGAAAGGTGAGAGGTGATGGGGCAGAGACTGGGGGCTGAGGTAGGATGGGGTTGGTTTGGGCAGGAGAGAGGAGTATTGAGAATGATTGCTTGCACCAGCTATTATCGTAGCTCAAGCACTCATTCGTGGCCGTAAAATCTGGTTTGTTTAAAGGGGTTTTTAATCCATTAACACGGTTGTTTGTTCATCGACCTGCTTATTCCCGAACCCACTACCCACTGCCTCCGCTCGACTAACTCCAGCCTCCTGCATGTCCCTCATGCTCTCTGTTCCACCATCGTTGGCCGTGTTTTCAGCCACTACGCCCCGAAACTCTGGAACTCTTTTCCTCTATCCCTCTGTCATGCCCCTTCCTTCCCCATCTTCAGATTGAGCCCGAAGCCCTTCCTCTTCGACCGTACCTACGGTCACCTCCCTATACTGCCAGCTCGGTGTCGTGCTCCACCACTGTCAAGCGCTCTGGGACCCTACCCTGCTTGAGGGGCGCTGTGTAAATGCAAGTTGTTGTTGTTCAGGTCTGTCTTTTGTACCAAACTTTGGGCCTTTTATAACCTTATAAAATTCTAAAATGGTGGATCATGTTCACAGCCTGTGTTAATCGGTTGAAAATTATAGATTGGGAAATTATATTCAGTGATCGCTGGAGATACAGATCAAGACCTATCAAGACCTAGATCTTATCCTTCCAGAATACTGTCTTTCTGTTACGGTATTGAGTTGTTTCTTGTCTGAGTCCTGCCCACAATTACCTTTCCTGGCAACTTGCTCCAGCTGTTGCTTACTCTCTTGTTAAATAAATCATCCTCTGCGTAAACTACATTTTAACTTGAAGCTCTTTCTTCTTTTGTTTAAGGATGTTACTGAAGGCAAGCCTCTGTGCATTGACCTTTTGAAACCTGAACTATTGCATTAAAAGAAACCTAGATAAATCTCCACCCTATTATTTTCTTGTCAACACAAGTACTTTTGCAATGCAAAGTGTTGTTCTTATTATTTTTTGGGGGGGTGGGAGGAGAAAGCATCCCTTGGTTCATCTGTTTTGTTACCATTTTAATAGATGAAGCCCTGTAATTTTGCACAAATACCTGAGGATTTTGTAATGAACTTTGATTACACCCTGAAGATTAATGCTGCATTGCCGTTTGTCCACAGAAAGGTCCATTTAATCCAACTGTGGCTGGTGATCACAAAGCCACCTGCTGTTCAGCAATGCATGTCATCTCATCTCCTCCTCCTTCATTCTTCCCCAAACCCATGTTAATCAAGTACAGCAGCAGCATTTCACAGCCCTCTCTTTCTCCCCCCTTTTAAGACTTCTTTTTAAAAAATAGGGTTAAATTACAATATTGTAATCTGAGTTATTTGGAGCTAAGGGTCAATGATATTTACACGTGATTCAAAGGATGAATTCAATCGCACTTTCAACGGGCTGCAGCTGGAGATGGCCCTTTACTACTACAACTACTACTACTACAACAACAACCACAACAAATTACATTTGTATAGTGCTTTTCACATCGGGAGGACGTTCCAAGGCGCTGGGTGACTCTTTACTCTGACTGCTCTGAAATGATGTCAGGGTTCAGTTGCCTCATTTCATTATTTGGCTTCCCTCCAGTCTTGCTTGAAGGGCAGTTTGGTTTGATCGTACTTTGTCTCCTACCAGATTCCTCCAAGGGCTGGGAGGGAGAGAGGTATCGTAATCTATGACTCTTTAAATGAAGAAATCTCTTGTTTAGCAATGGAAGAAGTGGTCTGACAATCGGACTGCTTTGATTGAAGGACTCGACTTGCAATGAAATCCTTCATCAGGCTATCCTCAATTACGTCCTCACACTCTAACACTGCAGCTATTATTGCGGCACTGAATGTTTTGTATTGGAGATTTCCCTTTTTTTAAAAAAAAAGAGCCCTGGTTCGATGCATCACCCATTGTTCTCGAATACACGCACTGACTCTGTGTGTTTGTCCTGGCAGTTCCACTTCGAGTTCAGTGGATATCAAATAAATAGCACACAAGTAATAGTAAAATGCTTCGATGTGTGTCGAAAAATGTGAACTATCAGTTGTTCACACTTGTAGGGCTTTCCTAGTAATAATAATAATCCTTACATTGGATATAGCGCCTTATCACATCTTCGAGACGTTTCACAGTGCTTCACAGGATACACTGCAAAGTGAATTGATTGTGTATTTTTGGGGCGAAGCTTGGCAGCTAATTGCGCACAGCACCGTCCCCACAAACAGCCATGGATTGGCTGACCAAATTATTATTTTTTTTGAAGGGATTATTACCCCCGGAAAAGCGATCCACGAATCGACTAACAGTTGGGTTCCTACTTACTGCTGGTAAACCGAGGAGTGTGGAGTAAGGAACTTGCCTAACATTTCGCCCTGCCTGGGAATCAAACCCAGGTCTTCTCGCTTGTGAGGCGAGCGCTCTAACCACTGAGCTACAAGACTCCACGAGTAGTTTTAATGCAGAGTGACACTGACCTAGGACCCCACTGAGCACGGCTTCCAGTCAGCACTGGAGTGTGCAGTGATAGGTTTATAAGCTGATTAAGAGTTTAGTTTTGGATTTTGCGACTGGCTTTTACTGTCAAACAGTCAGAATAGTGCTTGCTCTTTAAATTGCTCTCTCACGTAATCCAAACAGTTGATCCAAAGTGAGTACTAGCTGTTATTCTGAACATTGACTGACGTGGGCCACCCTGCTTCTCTTACTGGAATAAAGACCCCAAGTGGTTTGGCTCGATGCACATTAAACATTTATTTGAGTTTCCTCGAGTCCCATATGCCCTAATTATATTGAGTAATAAGCACTCCCTCTGTTTATCTTTGGAAATATTATTGAGATCTGTGGGTTGCAAGGAAAACCCAATGTGAACACTTCTCCAGCCCCTGGGTATTTCTTGGAGTTTGGGGAAATACATTGAGAATCACTCGATGAAAGTTCTGAATGAATTCACCTGTGAACATAAACGTTTTCAGTGGAAAATACAGTAGCAGCTATTGTTTCTGAAGACCTGCCAGCCCTCATACTCACTGCTCTTGTTCCTTTTAACGCTTCATACATGGAGTCCTGCAGCTCACTGGTTAGATCTCGCAGGCAAGAGGACCTGTGTTCAATTCCCGGGCAGGGCGAAACGTTCAGCAAGTTTCCTCACTCCACACACACGTCTTTGTTTACCGAACACTAAATAGGAACCCAGTTGCTAATCGATTGGCGGATTATGTTTTGGGTGTAATAATCCCTCCATAGATAAGTAAATAATAATAATTTGGTCACTCAATCTACGATTGTTTGTGGGACACTACTGTGCGCAATTGGCTGCCACCTTTCGCCTGCGAAGTATACAGTCATTACACTTTACAATATATTCTGTGAAGCACTTTGAGACGTTGCGAAGACGTGATAAGGCGTTGTTCGAATGCAAGGATTATTATTATTATACTTCACTAAATGCCTTATGTGACATGTGATAGGATTGTTAACTTTGAGTATCTGATTGTGAAGAGGTTTACTGAATATGTGTTGTTTTTCTTTCTTTGCAGCAAGTTGAAGTAGACAGCCAACAGTGTATGCTTGAAATCTTGGACACAGCAGGAACAGTAAGAAATCTTTCCTCCATACACAATCTTTAACTGGCTACTGTAAATGTATTTCACTCACAACTTGCAGGTCATTAAATGTATCCTATAAATGGATATAGATATATATATATATATATACGCGCACACACAGACATTGCATTACACTGACGTTATGACATTGCTGGATTTAATGAAGAGGCAAAAAAAGAATCCAATGCCCTAAATTGTCTAAATCTCACAGATTTACGAGGAGGGAAGAAGCCAAATTAAAGAGCTTTAACTCCTGAAATCTTGTGGAAACCTCACCTCTTTATCTGCCTTCAGACATGCTTGTTGTCAAAGTCCTTTCATCATTTGTCTAAATTTCTGTTATATTTTGCCTTCCTCTGTTGATGATAAATTGAGGATCAAAAGGCCTTATTAGGCTGTCGCTCCTGATGTGAACTGTGCATTTCCTCCATTCGCTCTACGCTAGCACCAAAGCCTATTCAAACATTGCCATTAAATCCTCTTACTATCGAACATTCTCTTATTGTCTGCCAGTAAATTGAGTATGTTGATGCATAACCCCTCAAAGGTGCTCGATAACAGCATGTTCTGTGTTGCTTGAGGGACATCAGCTCCTGTTGTGTCTTGTGTTGGCAGAGTGCATCCATGTATTGTGGATAAAATACATCTTTGCAAAGCAGTGCAGCAATAGACAACAGTTTGCGATTGTAAAAGTTGCTTCTTTTGGAGCTCATTACTAATCTTGAGCCTTGTTCTTTCAAAGAGCCATGATTTCCCCTTCCTCCTTATATTCCTCATCTAAATTTACCCCCATATTCAATCTCTATGACTCATTGTTGCTGATGCAACTTATTTTTTTGTCAGCCGGGAGTCTGACACGTGCGGAAACCCATCCCCATTGCTTAAAAGTGTCCAAGCCAACCTGAGATTTCCATGCATCCCAGCTACACATGGGAATCCCAGGGATAGATTGTTGGAATGGAATGTGCGTTCTCTCTCTCTTCCTGGAGGGACATACAAATTAACTGCTGTGTATTCTATTTATAACACTCATGTTTTCTTTTTCCAAAGTTTTCTTTCGGAAGCCACTTGAGTGATGGTTTGACTTGAAACGTACTATTTATGCAATTTATGCAAGAGGGAAACACTAAATTGCTGTGTGTGCCTTTGTCCATTACAGGAGCAGTTCACGGCAATGAGGGATCTGTATATGAAGAACGGCCAGGGGTTTGCACTAGTATATTCTATAACGGCACAGTCCACATTTAATGACTTACAGGACCTCCGGGAACAGATCCTCCGAGTCAAGGACACTGAAGATGTAAGTAAACAGCTCTCCGACTGCAACAGCAAATCTAGACACGTTTGTCAATCTCCCGTCAATGGGCTAACGTTCCATACCGAAGCCAATGGCTCTCCTTTAACTCTGAGTTGGCAGCGCGACTCTTTTCTAAGCCAAATGCAGTATACAGTCACCTCCTACCCCAACTCCCTGCCCTCCAGCGCCTGACGAATTTTGTAAATGGAGAACACACATCGTTTGTGGGTTTCTAAGTTTACAGGGAAAAAACAGTTGTTTGTTCCAGGTTTCTCTTTTCTCTGTCTCCCCCAGCCCCCCCCCCTCTCTCTCTCTCTTTCTCTCTCTCACTCCCCCCCGCTCCCCCAGTCCAATTTTGTGTGTGTTTGGTAAGCATTTCATACAGCCTAACGGGAACTGGTAGCTGAGCTTAAGCAACCGCCTGCAGGAAGTTGTCTTTCTGTGTATGAATCACAAGGGAATTTCCCATTAATGATAAAATCAACAGCTGTAAAGCATTAATAGCCAGGGCTTCACTTCCCACCTTCCCTGATACTACCCGGACACTGATCTCCCACAGCACTAACCCTTTAATTTATTTGCCTGTGTGTGAGGGAGGGAGAGTTAAGCAAATAGTTCTACGTACAGAATTGTATTTATGAATAGATCTCTTAAACACCTCATCTAAATGTTCTAAGTGTTCACATTAATCCTTCTGAGATATTAGGTTCACCTTTCCACAGCTTTGTTTCCATCCCTGAGCCTTTTGAGCTCAGTAAGGTGAAAGCCATTGCATTATCCCTAAATGACTGTACGCTTGTGAAATAAGGAAGGGTGCATTGCTCAGTGGTGTGCGGAAGCTCTTGGTTTCCCATCAATCTGCTGTAACATCCCAGCCCGTTGTTACAAAACTGAATTGTAGATTTACTTCACATAAGGAGGCTGTTCACCCCATTGTGCCTGTGCTGGTGCTCTCTCCCCCAGTGATTCTGTCAATTCTGACCCACTGTTATAGCTGGGGTTATGCTTGCTCCATTAACATGGGGGTCCTAGCTCAGTTAGAGCACTTGCCTCACAAGCGATAGGACCTGGGTTTGATTCCTAGGCAGGGCAAAACATTGGGCAATTTTCCTTACTCCACATGTCTCTGTTTACCAGCAGTAAGTAGGAACCCGGTTGTTAATCGAATTTGGTCACTCAATCCACCACTGTTTGTGGGACGTTGCTGTGTGCAATTGGCTGCCACGTTTCGCCCACAAAATATACATCAATTCCCTTTATGGTATATTTCTATGGAGCGCTTTGAGACGCCTCAAAGAGGTGATCAGGAGCTATATCAAATGCAAGGATTATTAATGTTGTAAAACTCCTAAACTTTGTTAAATCAGTAACTTGTGATGAATTTTTTTTTGTCCTCTCTTCCCTCCCAATTTTGATCTGCCGTTTTAATCGTCGAAATATTTGCTGTATTGTGCGTGCGGAGACTGGACAATTACATGAGGCCAGTTTTTAGTTCAGAAAGGTTATTGTACTCGAATAGTGGGAACAGTGTTCTCCTATATGGTTGAATCTGGGCCATGTTTTCATTAATCTATTCAAATGATGATCTCATTTAGTAAATCGTGATGTTAAAAAAAGGGGAAACTCTAGGCTAGTGGATTAAGATTGTTCTCGCAAAGTGAGTCTAACTTGGAATTTAATAACTAACCCACCAGGTGTAAATGTGACTAGTTGGGGATTCATGGTGTGAAGAGTCCTGCAGTCTAGGTTTCAAAATTGACCACAATTTACCGTTTTACATTAAAAAAAAATTACCAGGGGAGTTTTTTTAAAAAATCGCCAGACCAAATTCCGTCAGGCAACCGGAATAAACAGGAAGGGAAGGAATTTTCCAACCCGCGGCAATGATTCCCATTTTAGTCCTTGTGGAACTTTACCTGGTACGAGGAAGGGGATGTAGGCTTAGATGCTTTTGAATGACTCCAGTTTACACTGATGATGATACTGAACTGGCTTTAAAGGTTACGTTTTCATGTAACTGAAAGCTCAGGCAACTAATCCTTCATGTGAGCAGGTCAATCAATCCCTGATGTGTCGAAACACATCCAATTAGGGACATAGCTCGACAGACTTGAGCTGGGATGAACACGCCTGCACTGATCCCCCTGTTGATGGCGAGGTCTAGCTTGAGTCCACATTCACTGAAGATTATCTGCTGGTGGGAAGCCAGCACATCTGTTATGAGTAGAGAAGCGTCTCTCTAGTGGTTATTATTAGTTTATTTTTCGACCTGTGATAAGCCTGGAGGTTGGAAAATACAAGCAGTTTGTAGCTGTGATGAGGGAAGGGGTGCACATGCTTTTAGTCATTTAGAGGCCATGCTAGGAACTCAACACTTCCCCCACCATACATGGTCGTGTAGGAAAATTCCACCCACTCTTAACATACAGATCTTTATCCGTTCGACCATCTCTGAGTTGAGACTTGGGCAACAATTGAGTGATATTAATTGGCCGATTCGCTACTTTGGGTGGAAAGTCCTCACTGCAATAGGGGAATTCTGTCTATCCCATCTGTTCTCCATCAAAATCATTGCAGCACTAAAGCCGTGAGATCTGTACTGTGTTCACCAGTAATGTCAAAGATAAATGGAGCTAAAGTTAATAACACTTTTTTTCTTGTGTAGTTCTTCCTCTTCCTTTCCAGTCAGCTGCTGATGACTTGTTTCAATGTGGCTTGAACTGTGATGGTAGCAACTTCCTCGTTGTTGTTATAATAAATAATCACTCAATCCACGACTGTTGTGGGACACTGCTGTGCGCAAATGTTGTGTGCGTGTGTGTTTGTATGTGTGCGTGTGCATGTATATAATTTATACAGTAGATGACTATGTCTCTCGGGACTGTTTTGTTCAAGAGGAAAATTCCAGGAAGCGTAAATGTTTTCATAAGTACAGCCAAGGTTTGGTTCTTCGAAATGTTCGAACGTGTTCTTGGGTTATTGTGAAAACACTGTTACCCGTGTTCAGTAATGGACAGTTTCCCTGCTGCGAGCAAACACTGCCCGTCTGTGATGAAAAGCATCAGGGTCCTTCATCAAACGGAATGAACTTCCACGCAAAAGTAGTCGACCTCTTTGGGAACAGTGAAATGTGCCAGAAAGACGGACATCTCTCTCTGACCAGACTTCCATTTGCAATTGCTTCATTCGTATTGCCATCTAGTAGCCTCTGTATGTTAGCCACTGATAGAAGAAGCGTTTCCTCTTAAGATGAAGTGTAGGTGTGGCTTCAGATGAGCTCGGAGTAAATTGTGTGCTGCATCTCCAGGGTAGGAGGGTTTAGGATGGGTCTAGTTTTTTGGGGGGCGTTGTGGGAGGAAGAGATATGAACAGTGGAATGTTTTGGACCATCTTTATTGAGAAGATTTCTGGCCTCATCTTGTCAGAACGGCATCTCTCATAAACATTGGGCCTTTTGTGTAGAATGAACGTCTTGCTACACTTCACACAAGGATCTGTTCTGCTCATGTTTGTCTCGGGCTGTTGCTTCACGGTGTGTGTCTGCCACTCACCCGAGTCCCGGATCATCCTGAAATTCCGTGCTCTGTATATTTGGGATCTTCCCTCAGAACCCTACTCATCAGAAGCAGTTTGGAGTCAACCTTCTGCTCCAGAACATTGGCCACAGCCAGTGGGGATTAGCCTGGCTGCTGTGATTCACAACTCGTTGTAAAGTAAGTCCTGTAAGTGAGTCGTTTTGTAGACTTGAATATCAGCCTTTAGGATGACAGGGGAAAGAGTTTCGTAGGGAGATGGATGGTGGTGATGGAGTTAGGATTGTCTTCATTTTGTGTGTTTGGCAGGCAGACGAATCCTGACTGAACAAATGTGTGATGTCTTGTCCTGCAGGTTCCCATGATACTAGTCGGCAATAAATGCGACTTGGAAGATGAACGAGTCGTGGGCAAAGAACAGGGCCAGAACCTAGCGAGACAGTGGAACAACTGTGCCTTTTTAGAGTCCTCTGCGAAATCAAAGATCAACGTTAATGAGGTAAGAAAAGGCAACACACTGCAGATGCTGAAAATCTGAAATAGAAACAAGTCGCTGGGAACACTCAGCCGGTCAGGTAGCACCTATAGAGAGAAGAAAGTGGGTTAATATTTCAGGTTGATGACCTGACGACCAGGTTCTGACGAAAGGTCATTGACCTGAAATGTTAACTCACTTTCCTCTCTCCATAGATGCTGCTTGATCTGCTGAGTGTTCCCAGCGACTTCTGTTTTTATTTTAGTTAATGAGGTAAGAGCCAGTCTATGGCACGAACAATTACATCATATCAAATGCATGGATCATTGTTGGAATGTAACCTAACGTTTGCTTGTTTCTCCCCTGTGTCTACAGATCTTTTATGACCTGGTCAGACAGATCAATAGGAAAACACCAGTGGAAAAAAAGAAAAGTAAAAAGAAGAGCTGTTTGTTGCTATAAACTTCTGCTCCGCAGCAGGTCTGAGCCAGGTAAGGCCCTCACAGCAAAACCTGACAGCAATGCTGTTGATCTGCTTATTCCCCAACCCACAACCCGCTGCCTCCGCTCGACTGGCTCCGGCCTCCTGCCCTCATGTCCCTCATGCCCTCCCTCCTGTCCACCATCGGTGGCCGCGCTTTCAGCCACTACGCCCCGAAACTCTGGCACACTTTCCCTCTATCCCTCCTCCTTGCCCCTTCCCCTTCTTTCAACTCGTGCCTGAAGACCTTCCTCTTCAACCGTGTCTGCCGTCTCCTCCCTCCAGCTTGGCATCATGCTTCACCACTGTTGAAGTGCCTGTGTGAGGGGCGCTATATAAGTGCAAGTTGTTGTAAAAGCTCACATTGCAGTGTAGACTTGGGTTTCACTTTGGGGCTGATGCCCCTTTATGTTCATGGTGTATGTGTGTGTGTGTGTGCACATGCAATTTTGCACAAGAGATGTTAAACAGTAACAACAAATTAGATTTGTAAAGTGCCTTTCACGTTGGGAGGATGTCCCAGGGTGCTGGACAGTTAGGGATTGGGACCCGAGCTGGGGGTTGGGATCGGGAAGGAAGGATGTCCCAGGGTGCTGGACAGTTAGGGATTGGGACCCGAGCTGGGGGTTGGGATCGGGAAGGGTAGAGAGCAGCTGAAAAGGAGAGGTTCCATCTGGTCAACGAACAGCATCTGTAAACCTGGCGCTGCTCCAGGGCCGGTGTGTGAGGATGCGGTGAAGTCTCTGTTCTGCCGTGCACTGCCCTCTGCTGCCTCCATATGTACTGCCACTTCCTGTTAACGCCTTTTCAACTTCCTGCTTGAAAAACATTAACCCCTTTTTACTTTATAAAACCGTCTGTTCGCAGACACAGCAGTCAGCAGTTTTGTACATTGAGAGAATTGTTCACCTTCACTGTTACTTTGGAACTCCATCCCACAGTCACTTCGCCTCTCTCCCTCCCTCGCCTCCTTCAAGGCCTGTCTCAAGACCCTCCTCTTCGATCGCACCATTGACCACCCTCCCTGCCCTCCACCCCTCGCTGATCCCAACCCCCAGCTGGAGTCCAAACCCCTGACTGTCCAGCGCCTTGAGACGTCCTCCTGACGTGACAGTCACCGTGTAAATGTCGTGTGTAAATGCTGTTTGCTGTTGTTCCTTCCTGTTGTTCTCACCTTGCTTTGATTTCGTGTTCAACATGCTCTTATGTTTGTTTCTTTTGCTGATTGCTTATGAACCTTTTAGTTACATGAAGTTATTACTTGTACTCTTATTGAAGTGTTCTGCTTCGCGTGCACCCTCCCCCTCCCACGCTGGCGAACTTTCCGACACTTTGCTCTCGCCGTCTGAAACTCTCTTCCAAAATCCCTTTCAACTCGCTCACTCCCTCTCTGCCCTCGAAACCTCTTAGATTGTGCGGTTAGCCACCCTTCCCCTTCTCCCTCGCAACTCGGGCTTTCATCCTCTTTGTTAAAGTGCTTTGTAAATTTTTCCCCATGTGAAAGGAGTGGCCTAAGATCAACTCGTTGAGCGTTCCGATACCAATTCCTTGTATTTGTCTGTATTTCTGTGTCACCCTCACGGTCCCATGTGCTAACTCTGCGTCTGATGATCTGCAGGTATGAAGAACTGTTGCCTAATTGGAAAGTGCCAGCATTCCAAATTTAAAACAAAACTAACATATCTGAAGAGGCTTCACCCGTTTTTATATCTTGGATAAAGATCTCCTCCTAGAAGACGGTTTGCACACACACACACTGTTCCTGAATTTGCTCTGTACATCGCTTGAAAAGACAGTATTTTCACCTTTGCATAGTGGTATAGCAGATGTGGATTTAATGATATGAGTTTAGTTGTATGATTATACAAAGACAACGCATGGACACGTTTCCAATGTTCTAGATGTTGCAAGTGAAATTAAAAGTTGATTAGATATTGGCCTTTTGTCGTTGCACCTCTTCTCCCTATCAAGCACTAATAGTTCAATAGTTTGACATATTTGTCCTCTGATGGACTTATCCCAACAGTTAACATCTACTTTTGGTTCTGGCGACTTCATTTTATATTGGGAAGTTGCGAGATCACATTACTTTCACTATACAATTGTATTCTAATTAAAAGATGTTTTGTGCATAATGCTTTGAAAAAAAATGGGTCTTTTATAGGAAAACTGTGGAAAACTGATTTCTATGTCTCTCTCAAAGCTGAAATATATTATACTAAACCAACTCTAATACAGCTTCCTGTGTCTCATTTATTTTCGTTCTCAGATCTAGATGCCTAGACACTAACCAAGGTCCGGTCTACCTGTTCAGGTAGACATTAATAATAATCCTTGCATTTGTTATAACGCCTTATCACATCGTTGAGACGTCTCAAAGTGATTCACGGGATATATAGTAAAGTGTAGCGACTGTGTATTTTGTGGGTGAAATGCGGCAGCCAATTGCGCACAACAGTGTCCCACAAACAGTCGTGGATTGAGGGACCAAATTATCATTATTATTTTTTTAAGGGATTATTACCCCCGGAAAGTGAAGTGCCAATCAATTAGAACCCAGGTCCACTCGCTTGCGAGGCTTCTGCCCTTGTCTTGGCCAGATAAATTGTTCATTTAAAGCTGTTGTGATGTATTGCTGTGTGGTGTGCCTCATTTCCCCCCCCCTCCCCCCGAGACTTAAAATAATTTAGCCGGAAACGAGGACAGGATCAGTCTTCCGTCAGTACTCGGGTGTTGCCGGTAGGTGGCGAAGTTCCATAGCAGTAATAATAATGCAGTGGCTTCATTCGCTCAGTGGAGGGCGAGCACATTGATTTCCAGGGATCTATCTCGCACTACGGTATTTTTATAGCATCTGCACTACAAATGATGCCCCGCAGCCAATCTGCAGCGGTGGGTCCTGTTAAGCGCTTCGAGACGTCTCAACAGCGTGATAAGGTGTGGGCTGTACCAACGTAAAGCGTTAGTTTGTTGACCCTTCTCTTCGACAACGCCTTCCGTCAACCCCCTACCCCCTACCCCTGCCCCCCACCACCTCCTGATCCCAACCCCACCCCCCACCCCAACAATAAACGTGGCCACAACGACTTGTGCTCCCACGGCCAGCGGCCCTCGCGCAGGGCAGCGTCCCAGAGCCCTCGCCAGTGGCGGAGCACGGCACCGAGCCTTGGGGCGAGGAAGGTCTTGGGTGCGATCTAAAGATGGCGGAAAGAAGGGGCAAGACGGAGGGATAGAGGGAGTGCGTTTCCAGAGTTTTGTGCAGGTCACTCACTCACTCACTCACTCACTCACTCACTCACTCACTCACTCTCTTGCTTGGTCTCATATCGAGCAAAAGCATCTCTAACACGTTGCCTGACTGAGCCAAACTGATTTAGACTAATCCAGCTGCGGTTCTGGGACTGTACAGATAAATTAATTGGACGCTAACTGAGCAGAAAATGTAACAAATTATATTTTTCCCTCCACTGGCAACCTGACACTTTGATATGAGCGCAGGAGTAATCTTGCTATTAAAAACATCAAAGGGATTTAAATTTGAAGCGTGTGGAGGGGGGGAAGGAAGGGGAGGACGTGTCATTGTAAATTAGCTGATGTTTTTTAAAGACCAGACCAGATCCATTGGCTGAAGATTTAGCCTCACTGTCGAGACTTACTGGGAATGTGAAGGATTTTATTGGAATGAAAGCGGAATTGATGCCAATTCAATTCCCCTCGGTACGGTACGTGGAAGCTTTTGTTAGTGTCTGAGCCGCTCCAGGGAAAAGGGATATGGGCTGTTCAAGACCCGTGCGAGAGGATTAGGTTTCACGAGCAGAAGGTTTGACTGCGGATACTGATACTGGTGTGTGGCTCTCTGCACTGTTCTGCACTGGGAGAAGACTCCCAATCTCCAAGTCGTTGCGGAATTAGTTCATTGGCGTTAGGGACAATAATAATAATAATAATAATAATCCTTGCATTTGCCTTATCACGTCATTGAGACGTGGAGTGACTGTGTGACTGGGTGCCATTGCTGCCATTGGTCTCAGGCTGGGATGGGGGTGTGGGGGGGTAATCGCCAGGGTTCCTGCGCCTGAGATTTGGGGACGATTCGCCCCTTTCCTGGGTTGGAGAAGTGAATTGAAGTGGGGGGTGGGGTGGGGGGGGGAGAGTAGATCTTTTCCTCTCCAGGACGCGAACTTGTGCGGAGGGCGATTCATAAATGGAAGTTGTTGAGTCCAGTGTGTCACGAGTAAGAATGTTACAGAAAAGAGGGGGACAGGAGGGGTGGGTTATATCCACAGTTTTCGCCCGAAATAATAATAATATACGGTCATCTCACTTCACAGTATATTCTGTGATCGCTTTGAGGATGTGATCAAATACAAGGATTGCTATTGTGTCTAACTTTAAAATTGAATGTCATGGGAGTAAGTCAGTCACCCGCGAGAGGGTGCAGTTCCACGCAGACTGACCTGACTGATCCTGTGTGTGACAGAGCAGCAGCTGGGCTGGGATGAAGAGCAAGTTCAGGATCCATCCCAGGCTGTACAGCTTTACACAGGAGGGAATAGAATAAGCAGCTGTTACGCGTTGCCAGGCCACTGGACTCGTTTAGGTAAACCGCTCGATGCCGTAATGGAGAGGAGATCGAACGGGATCGAAGGGTCTTGTGATATTAATAATCCTTTGCGGAGAAATTCATTTGATAATAGTGATTTGTCACGTCTCCCGAGACATCGCAAAACACTCGCAGAATAGACTGCAAATTTAATTAATTGACTTGTGTATTTTTGGGGGCGAAACGCGGCAACCAATTGCGCACAGCAGTGTCGCACAATTTTTTTTGAAGGGATTATTATTGCCCCTGAAAAACATCCCCCCAATTTGACTAACAACCAGGTTCCTACTGACTGCTGTAAGCAGAGGCGTGTGTGTGGAGTAAGGAAACTTGCCTAAGGTTTCGCCCCGACCGGAAATCGAACCCGGGTCCTCTCACTTGTGAGGCGAGGGCTCTAACCCCTGAGCTACAGCGCTCCACAAAGGTTTCAAATGCTGAGAGTTTTCCTGAGGACACTCAGTGTTATCTCAGCCTCCTGGTCCCTAGTCTGCCCAGCTCTCGATTCATGTGCTAAGTATCTCACTTTGGTGTTCGTTATAATGCACATTTCTGTGTGATTTGCACGTCTGTGTGTGTGTGTGTGTGAGAGTGGGGAGGAAAAACAACTCATTTCTAATCTCATGAATACCTGGAGAGTTAAGAGTTGAGCATCAAACCCCCGAAAAACAGCGAAGCAGCAAAAGAGACGCGGAGAAAATAGACCGAACTATTCTCTGGGGAGCGTCAGCTGGTGGGTGGTGTTTCTCACTTATAATGAGCGAACCACAATCGTATGCATTTCGTAAAACCTGCTAAAGTTCTCTCGCAACAGCGCACTGTCTCTGCAGCGTTCAGCCTTCGTCTCTTCTCTGAATTGCTGCGCTGCCGCATTTCGCTCACAAAAGCCACAGTCGCTCCACTTTACAGTGTATCCCGTGAAGTGCTTTGAGACGTCTCAACGACGTGATCAGGCGCTGTGTCAAATCCAGGATTATTATTGTTAATCGGCATCAAACTACGCCATTGTGAAACGCTCTGAGATGCTTCCCCGTGTGAAGGGTCCTACATACGCACAAGTTGCATTCACTGCAGGATGGCTTGTCTTGTTTGCTACTGTGCTGAGTGTGCGTGTGCGTGTGTCAATGCTGAGGCTGAGGCTTTTAACCGCTCTCAGCTTGCGGTGTTTCAAGGAAGTTGCTGACAGTAATTCACGCTCTACTCCTCTGCCTGTCAGGCACGATCTGCGTGCAGTTTCTCAGCGCAGGCCATGAGCGAAGGGAAGGGCGGGGGGAAAAAAATTCAGCTTAAAGTCTGGGCAGGCGACAAATGCTGAGCGGTTGAAATGGCTTAAGTGCGGCTCTGAGTAACATTAAAAGCCTCAGCACATGTGTGAACGCACACGTACACAGCACACACACAGCGCACACACATACACATATACACAGCACACACACATATAGCACACACACACACAGCACAGGAGTTGGCGATGTGCCAGTCTCTGCCTCTCTCAAGCACTAAGCACAGAGAGGCTGGTGCTAAGGGGCAGACGGGGCAACTGTTTGAGGCTGGCATGTAGGGGTGTCTGGTGCGCGGCAGCTGATCAGACTTCATCTCCGACATTTCCAATTCCCAAAATAAAATGTCTTTGAGACGTCTCAAAGCGCTTCACAGGTTACACTGTAAAGTGAATTCACTGTATATTTTGTGGGCGAAATATGGCAGCCAATTGCGCACAGCAGTGTCTTACGTCGCTTTGACATGAAAGTCACTGTGTCAAATGTGAGGATTATTATCTATACCATCTCTTCCCCTCCATCCTCTCTACCCCCCACCCCCACCACTCACCCACCCCTTTCCTCGACTCCAGAACATGAGTCTTCAAACAGACAGCTGAATGCTGAGAAGCAGCTGAGTTTGGGGAGTGGAGAGAGGGGCAGAGATCAATCCGGGCTGCTCGTGAACCTCAAATGACTGAGCTGCGCAGAGGTTTCTGGAGGTCGGGGTCACCTCTGATCTCTGCCCTTTGTGTGACTGAATGACCAAGTCAGAGCTATTTTGAGATGGGCTGGGATGGGGGATGGTGGGGGGGGACCCTGTGGGAGGTCCCGAATTTCTTGCCGGCTCACTGTGTGGGGTGGGATGTGGGGGAGTCTAACATGCGGTGATTTCTAGCAGGATTCCTTCATAAGAAAACCAGAAGTCTGTGCGTCACACCTGCTCTGTAAAAGCGTTGGGAGATGGAACCGAATGGCCTCTTTCTGTGCTGTAAGATTCCGGGAGTTAAAGCATTGAATCATAGAATATTACAGCACAGAAGGAGGCCATTCGGCCCATGGCCTCGCGGGTTCTCGCGGGTCATTGGGAGGTGCTCCTGATTACTGGCAGGAATTCCTTTTCCATCACCCACCACACACAGACACACACACACACACAACTTTGCATGACTTTGATTCCTTATGGAAAATCCCTCATACCCAACCCCAATATTCCCATTCTCCCATTTCCCAAGGTTTTTCCTGCATCAAGCTGATTTCTCTCTGGCGAGTTTGTAGACTGTTTTCCCGAACTTTATTGTGGTGACAATAAACACCTCCCAACACTACTTGCAGGTAATTACTCTCTAGCGCAGTAATAATAATA